TGAAGGATTTTACGCCTTGTTTAAAAGATTTTGAGGGTTCGGTTAATTTAGGCTAGTTTTAACAAGGGTTATTTTCAGTTAGACATCATCATCATCATCATAAGGTCGTCAGTCCTGAGACTGGTGGTCACGCACCTCCACTCTTTCCTATCCTGATCTAATCTTCGCTTTTCCCTAAAACTGGAACAACCCACATCCTTAACTTTTTGCGAACAGTAATTTAATCTACGTCTACTTCTACTTCTCTTAACTCCTGTTTCTGCCTCTAACATGTCTCTGACTAGACCTTCATGCCGGAGAAGGTGTCCTACCACCCTATCTCGCCTATTTCTTATTGACTTCCATTTGATTTCCACTTCTGTGCACCTGTTCTTTCTAATACCTCCCTATTTATAACCTTCTTTTTCCACGGTATCCTCATCATTCGCCTATAACACCACATTTCTAACCTTTTCTTTTCCGCCGCTCCCACTGTCCATGTTTCGCACCCATACAGGCCGAGCTCCGAATATATACCTTTAACAATCTTTTTCGAATTTCTAAACTAAACTCGCGAGCATAGAAGTGACTTCTTTTTACTGAAGGCGACTCTACCCTGCGCTATCCTTTGCTTTATATCCCTACTACTCCTTCCGTCCTGACTTATCTGACTTCCTAGATACCTCAAATGAGTCATTTCTTCCTTCTAATCTTTCGTCTCCTATCTTTATATTTGTTCTTTCCTTATTCCTACTTTTCCTTCCCTTGCATAGCGATATTTCTGTTTTACATTTATTTATCTGNATTAAAAATGTACAGATAAATGGGCCATTGTACTGAAAATTTTGCGATTATAAATACATATTAGACGTTATCATCTGTGATCTGTTTCAGGATTCGATAACGATCATCTAAATACTTTTAAATCTTTTTTAATAACATTAGATATCTATTAAAGAAAAGCATTTGCGTCAATTATCCTGGTACCTACTTACCTTTATTGTCACAGGTTCTGCTTCTGTAGTGAAGAAGTAAAACTAAAAAAATGATCGATACCACAATCAGCAGTATAACAACAAAGGTGATCAATAACTTTTGCCGATCGAATTTCTTCTTGCGACTCACGATTTTCGTTATTGGTCCGGACGCTGTCACCTGTACAACGGAAGTCATCGCCGGATGTTTTTCCAAAAGCGCGTCACTCTGTTGATGTTCTTGATCGATTTCCGTTTTGACGAAACCGTTTTTTGCGTCTTTATACTTCCACGGACTTTGATCCATTGTTTATCTTTTTTTTTCTTTTGTTTTCGAAAGATTTTCCTTCGGTGGCACTCTCTCGGTAATTATTTTTCTTTTATTATCTCATCTCAAGAACAACTTATAGTAATATGATTTTCAGAAAACACTTTTTACTTTTTCTTCTTTCGTAAATTTAATTTGTTACATTTTCACTAACCCCCTAGAAAATAACTGGAAAGGAGTTGACGAAAGGTTACTTATATATATGAATAATAGATCAACGGTTTACAAATTTTTTTAGAATAATGGATTAATCAAACAATTATTAATCGAATTAATAATTGATCGCAATTAACTCCAACAATCGAAAATCACTTTATAGCCCCCTATAGAGTCTAATGTTATGCAGTAGTTATTACTATGACTTAATTGTTTAAACATTTTGCCTAATTAATTTGAAAAGTTAATATTTGATTTTACCGGTTTGTTCATTGTTTTAATTTGAACGTTTTATTCGCTTTAATTTATTCGATGTTGAAAAACCAACATATGCATCAAAAAATGTAAATTATAAACCAGGACATCAAACATGTGTGTATTGACATTTTTTTATTTAAAATTTTATCGCTTTTTTCGTATTAGGTAACTAATACAGACTGTACTTATTGCGTAAGATCATTAAAAATGATTTATTTGACCTTAAATTAGTTTTTTGTATTTTTCGTACCAACACGCACATTTTGAAAATATTTGTATATGTACATATAGTTATAGGTAGAGATGTGCAAAATGTTTTTTTAAAGGTATTGAAATGCAAAATGCAAATACTTTTTTGATTTGTTATTTCAAATGTAAAGTACAAAATTTCCTTGTTGTATTTTGAATGCTAAATGCAAAATACGTATTTACATANAAAGTAGCAGTTTCTTCATAAAAATAACTGTATACAGTGTTTAAATGATGTTATTTTTTGTTAATTTCCTTCAAACAAACTTATCTTGGTTGCCAAGAAAGCAAATTAATTCTAACTTGACAACATTTTGTCAAAATTGCTAGTCACAACTTTATTTTTTTTATTAATTAATAAAATGGCCTGTTTCACCGATTTCAGTAGGTCTTCTTCAACCTGTGTAAGTTGTACAGCACAACAATTTTTTCCGTATTTATTAAATTAGGGTGACCTACAATTTTTCATACAAAAATATCTATTGTAGACACTGGCAGAAGTTTTTCGATGTTTTATATGTATGGAGAAGCTCCGTGATGCCCATCTTTGTCCGCACTGTTCCAAGTTATGTTGCTATGTCTGTATTAGAAGATGGCTCACAGAACAGAGATCTCAATGTCCCCATTGCCGGGCTTCTTTGCATTTACATGAGCTAGTAAATTGCAGATGGGTTGAAGAAGTTACACAGCAGTTAGATTCTTTACAAGCTGTCAACGTCAGCGGAAATCGCGTTGAAGATAATGACAGAGACAAGTTCGTGAATAGTTAGAATTATTAATTGATAAAAATCTATATTTTATTTGTGTGCAAATTCATTTCATTTCAATTCTAGATGTCTAACCCATATGGAAAAACTTTCTGTTTATTGCTGGACTTGTCGTTGTTGTATATGTCATCAGTGTGCTTTGTGGGGTGGCACCCACTCAGGGCACACATTCAAGCCCCTAGAGGAGGTTTATGAACAGCATATAACTCAAATCAAAGACGAAGTTGCCCAATTGAGACGTAGACTTATGGAACTTATTAGCATTGTCCAAGAAGTTGTATGTTGTTGTATATTATTACAAATAAACATTATTCGATAAATTGTTTATTTCAGGAAAGAAATGTCGATTCAGTTAGATCAGCCAAAGACGAGAGAGTTCGGGAAATTCGAAATGCAGTGGAGTTGATGATTGCAAGATTGGATTCACAGTTAAAGACTAAATTGCTGACGTTAATGGGACAGAAGGACTCATTAACTCAGGTAAGAGGCCCACCTGTTGGATTCAGTAGAATTTCAAATGATAAGGCCATAGTCCAAGTTATTAATTTTAAAATAAATAAAAGATCTTTTTAAACAATTCTCAAAATTACTTTGCAACAAAGGTGTATGCTTAATAAATACTGTTATTTTTTAAAAAATGGTTTGTTGAGCTTCCTAAGTCCAATACTTTTTTGCGGTTTTTTTTTTTGAAAATATTAGTGTTAGTTGAGTTTTGTTTTGAAAATTTTAACAATGTAAACAATTACATGATCCTGAATGTCCTCTTACCGTTTCCGACGTAACTGAGTGCCTAACTAAAAGAAACTGTAGGCAAGGGAATAATAATATATTGAAGGGATCTGAAAAGAGAAAAACGTTGTTCCACGTGTGGAACAGGGCAGTACAAGCTGCCTGTCCGATGATTTCGTCAAAAATGAGACACTCCCTGCGCTCGGACGTATTTTTCACGTTTTCTATCGATTTGAACGAAGAAAATAATGCACACCGCGCTACCCGAGAGGGAAAACCGTGACTGAAACGCGTTTTGTACTAGTGCCGCATTTTCACCAAGTGCTAAAACCACCTGTCGTCATTCGGCGTCGATTCGAGCGTCCCGACGCCGTCGTCGTCGTCGTCCTTACCGTTGTTGTGGAGTTTTTCATGTGGAAAACCTACTTTAATGATTCATTAGAGAATTTCCACGTTGATGTAGTCACAAAGTACAAATACGCACTAAAGCACTTTGTGAGTGTTTTTTTTTTTAAACAACCTTCAGCAAAAACTTTTCAGGAAGTACAAAGGACAACAGCTTCTAGTTAAATGCTTCCTTTTTTAATTGAAGCTAACTAAAGTAATAAATTTTGAAATAATGTCATTTCTACCAATACCTATTATATTAATTTGCAAATTATAATTAAGAAAAGAATTACTGTAGAACAACCAAAATGGTAATAATTTTTTTCAAAGGTTTTATTTTATGACTCTAAAAAAGGATAAAT